GTAAAAGCCAAAAAATAAATGAATTATGGTATGTTTAATCACAAGACTAAAAGTCTTTTGAAAATCATATCCTAGTCTTTGAATATACCCTTTGGCCACTAACTTGGCCTTATATCGAGCAATAAACCCATTAGCAATAAGTTTAACCTTGTACACCTATTTGTAACCAATAGTGTGTTGTCTAGGAAGAAGAAAAACAAGAATACAATTCTTGTTTTTCTTAAGAATGTAATAACCCAAATTAAAAAAAAAGGGGGGCTAGGTATAAAATGAGGGGCAGTTGTTACCCCTCCATTTTTTCTCCTTCTTTCTTCCTCTCTCACACATTTTCTTTTCAAAAATTTTCTCTCATTTCTCTCTTCAATTTTCAAGCTAAAATCTTGTTAAATTAACTCAAAAAAAACCTTAAACTAGTTGACTAAGTGGAGTGTAACTAGCTTGGAGCTTAGGAAGCTTAAAGAGCAAGGATTGATGCGGGATTTGAGGAGCTTAATGTAAAGGTAAGAATTTTGATTCATTGATTCATAAATTGAGAAAGTTTTTAAATGATTAATGATGATATTGAAATGCAATTACTTTGGGTCAGTTGATTACTTGAGGAATTGCTTAGGTTAAAGTTAAAGTTTTAAGACCCATTTAGAAAAAAATGATTCTAAGTGATCATGATGGCTTGAATGATATCTAATTATCTTGGCTAAGTGAAATAATCAGTTAATTTGAAATGAAATCAAATGAAATTGAGAAATTGAGAGGTTGAAAATGGTGAATAGTGATAAATCTAAATTTAGGTTTTAATTAGAAAGAATTTAGAAAAAATGAGAAATTAAGTCATATGAATGCAATTAAAGGTTAATGAAATGAGCATTGGATAAATTAGAATAGAATTGATCATTTTATTGAAAATTAAATGAATTAAGGGTTGATTGTTTAAAAAATGGGTAGCAATAAAATATGATTAGATGATTATTTAGAATCATTTGAGGGATTATAGGATTTAGTTAGGTCATCGATTTAAGTCCTTCTAATTAATTCTATTTTTGTTTGATGATATTGTATTTTAATTATGTAATAATTTATTGTTAGGATTATTTTTTGGTATATGGTATTGATGGATGATCCATCATTTTGTGATGTTAGATTCTTTAGAGTGGGCAACTCTATCCTAATGGTCTTGATTCTGTTTGGTTATTTAAGTTTTACTGTGAGTGGATATTATATAATGTACTCGTGTTTTAAATTTCTTGATTTTTTTCATCATGCATCATTGTTCAAGAACGATTTAGAATCATTTAATTAGAATGTAGATGGGAACAGAAATCATGAATGTTGAAATGTTTTCGTATCGAATGATTTGATATGTGTTTTTGAATTTGAGCAAATGTGTTATAAATGTTATTTTAATTATCCGTATAATTTTTTAAAATACATGCATGGTATTTGAAATATCGATCCGAAAATGTATAAATATCTTTGGTTTTCAAAAATATTTTTGAGACATAGGGAAACCTAGCTATCGAGGGGCCTTTGAGCTCAATAATACGAGGCTCCATTTAACAATAGAGGCATAGCGCTAAACCGTGTGTCAATTAACATATGAAAACCTAATCATTAGGGATGTGACCTTTGAGTGTTCGCACCCAATGATATGTTATTACCCCACATGTATATAAAAACCTATATATGTGTTTTTCGTATGAGTACGATGTGTGTGTGTGTGTGTGTGTGTGTGTATATATATATATACGGATGCTTTGACAATTTGATAAGAAATGGTTTTGAAGCATTTGACTTGTGATATGAGATGTGTTTTGGATATACATGTGTCATAAGAAACTAGCATAACATGTTAAGAAGAATTTGAAATTATCGTTCTTAGCTCTATTTTCCTCCTTTAGTATATTATATAACGTCTACTTATTAAGTTGTTCATTGCTCACCCCTCGTTATTTCAATCTTACAAGATATTGAGGAATTGCTCATTGCTTCCTCTTGATTGTTTGATTTGAAGTCGACACTTTAAGTGTGCAACTTATTTCCTTATAAATTTCTTATAAACTATGTTTGTTTTAAATTATAATATTAGATGCTTTGCGCTTATAGCCATGGGTAGGGTATTAAGAGTTGATTATGAATATTGATTTTAGATTTTGAAATATGAATTGTATTGAGATTGTAAAAAAATGTTAACTAAGTTGTGACAATGTCGATTGGAATGATAATTTGAGTGACATTGATTTGAGAACTATAGTATAAGTTTGATAGTGATTTGAGGTTTAGTTTAGTATCCGAGGCTTGCTTGGGTCGAGGTGAGCCTCACGATCCCTTTCATCGTCGCATCGGTCATGGTTGACTCCCGAGGTCGTGAACAAGAGCATCAAGTTCAGCCTTCATAGTAACTTTCTAGTGAATAGATTGTACCGCTTGATAATATATTATGACTCAACAAGTAATGGAAGATATGAAAGAAAGGAAGCATGTGAATAAGATAATTGGACAATAAAAACATGGTGTTGAATAAGAAATACATTAGAAAAACAAGTAGAAGAAGTTTTAGAAGTAGTTTGATAGTTAGCCAAATAACTAGGTGTTTTACTAACTCTAAAACTTTTTCAAACAGATTGAGAAGGGACACTACCTAAATATGGCGAGGAAATTAAAAGAGAAAATGAAGATTCTAATAAGGAAGGAAAAGGTTGAGTTGAAACATCTTGTGCAAATGAAATATTAGTAGGAATATTAGATGTGATATTGGGTGGTTCTAGTGAAGACCGAGGAACCATTATAGGAATATCGTGATAAGTGGTAGGAGAGATGATGTTAGGAATCATAGGTATAGAAGTAGAATTAATGCAAGAGAAAGGAAAAATATTCTTATGAAAGTAATGTTCTTAGTAATATCATGACAAATGTCCGGATCCACGTAAAATAATTTAATCATCAACAATAAAGTCCAAGTATTGATTTTTACTACTTATATCCATTTAACCAAAATAAAGTCTTGATCCTCTCTTTTTAAACTTTGTATATCGATGCAATGAAAAATCTGCATCCGGAGATTTAATTAGTTTTATTGGCCATGTAGCCTTGGTTGCCAAAACACATGCTTGGGAAGAAGATTTTGGCATACAGCTTGCATATGATGGTGTGCCTCTCCTTGCCATGCTCCGGTAGGAAAGAGAAGAAGAGAGACGGAGGATGAAGGTGAGTTCTAAATTTACTTGGAAAGCTTAAAGCGAGATGTAAAGAAATAGAGTCATACCATTTGATGACATGTAAGTTTACGTGTCAATAAAAATCCATTTTGATAAATAAGTTTAAAAGTACCATCTTTTAGCAATAAAGATTTAAAAGCAACTTGAAAAAAAGCTCCTAGACAAGGGGGAATGAGGTTTTTGTAATATTTATTTTGATCTCTGAAAAATTTTCAACAAATTTCCTTATATTTTATTCTCATGACATTTCAGTTCTTGTTTATTTATTTATTGGAATATCAATTTAGCCTCTATATCAAATTATGTTTTGGCAACTAAGCCCCCGAGTGTAAAAATTCATTTTATAAAAACATTGGTAAATTTAATCAAATTTTAGTCAACCAAATTAAAAAACAAGTGAGTGATAAATAGATAAAAAAGAATATGAAAAATTAAAAAATAATAATTTTATCAATACTATGGGACAAGCTTGTTTGACTCTTATAGTAGAACAATTACTTTTCTTTTATGACAATTTTAAACAAGACGACGATTGATGGTTATGTTGTTCTATGTGTATCCCAAAAACTTGTTGTAAAGGATCAAACACATCCTTTACTAACGGATCCCGAATGGAAGGCAGCGAATTGATATCAGGCTACAGCTGAGCCACAAAAAAACTATCCCAAACCTCTTATTGAATGTTTATGAACCAATAAATTCATTTAATTATTGCATCATAAAATATATTTTTTTCAGTTCGTTATTTGACTACTTCCTTCTAAAAAAAATAAATAATTACAGATATATAAATATTTATATTTAACATATCATAAACTACTTTTATGTTTCCTAAATTTGAAGGTATTGTATTGTTAATTATAAATTGATATCATGCTGAGAGAGTTTTTTAATAAAACACTCGTATATGATGTTAAAAATTCGAATATAATTTGTTACAGTATGTAGCTCATAATATATTTACCTCTTTGTGCATAATTGTAGTTATTTTTTTTTTTGAAAAACTTTAAGTTTCGAATCTATTATAAATGTAATAGAAATCTTTTCAAATAAAAAGAAATAGTATAAATACATCGAGGTATTTTTAGATAAAAAGTGATCTGATGAACACAATATTTCGCGTTAGACAATGTAAAATAAACTACTTATCTTTCTATTTTCGGGGGAAAAAAATTGGTCAGGTGACTTAGAGTAACCCAGTATATATTGTGATTGGTGAGTGACTACTGGTTGAAGTTGGAAGGTGGAATCCTAATGATACTGATAAATGAATCAAGAGGGCGGCTACGAAGTTGATGATGCAAACCATGAGAAATTCTCATCATCCAACGGTCATTAAGATAGGATATCGGTCCCAACATGAGAAAATAAAAGTGGGTCCAATCATTTCAGATTCGCTCACCAAAACAAGTCCCCTCCCTCCCTCTCCTTACCCTTTTTATTTATCTGAAAAATTAGACCCGCCTACACTCTGCCTCTTCCTTAAACCAAAAATCTTTTGGGTTTGGTTTTTTAAAATTCAAAGCCACCCCCCAGAACCGCAAAACCAAAATCTTCTAAACCTCAAAAATAAAAACACACAAAAACCCAACAAGCGCCAAACTTCTCTCTTTTGAAAAACGAAACATGGCGCTTTCTCTTACTTTCCCTCTCTCTCCACCATTACAAAACCTCTCTCCCCTCACAATCTCAAACCCCTCTCCAACCCTTTCTCTATCTCCTTCTCTCACTCCAAAACCAAAAAAGAGACAATTGACCGAGTGAGTGAAGAAGAATAAAATGAGTTCAATGGCAGATAAAGAGAACAGCGGCCGCATTACTCGCGCTGCCAAAAAGAGGGCGGCGGCGCTGGCTTCAGCCGAGGACCAGCCCTTGAATAAGAAGAGGGTTGTGTTGGGAGAACTGCCCAACTTATCAAACTCCATTGTTTCAGTGAATGAGCCACAGAAGCTGAAAGGAAAAGCAAAGACAAAAACCAAGAAGGGGACTTTAACGAAGAAGGAGAATGTTCTCAAAGAAGATGTTGATGGGAAACCTGAAGATCCCCAAATGTGTGCACCATATGCATCTGATATTTATGAGTATCTCCATAAAATGGAGGTAAGAATTGGTTTTCTGTGATTTCATTTGTGGAAATGTAATTAGGGTCTGTTTGATTTAACTAATTGAGGTTTATTTTTCAGGTGGATCCAAAAAGAAGGCCATCGCCTGATTACATTGAGAAGGTTCAAAAAGATGTTAGTCCCAATATGAGAGGGATTTTGGTGGATTGGTTGGTGGAGGTCGCGGAAGAATACAAGCTTGTCTCCGACACTTTATATCTTACTGTTTCTTACATTGATAGATTCTTGTCTTTCAGTCTCCTCAATAGGCAGAAGCTTCAGCTTCTTGGTGTTTCTGCTATGCTCATTGCCTCGTAAGATCTGGGATCCTTTCAATTTTGTTCATGTTTTTCAAGTCTTGTTTGAGTTTTGTTTAATTTGCTTATTTATTTTTTGTTTCATTTTGTTTGGATAAGTAGAAAGTATGAAGAAATAAACCCTCCACACGTGGAAGATTTTTGCTACATAACAGATAATACATACACCAAGGAAGAGGTAACCAATCACTCTCTCTCTCTCTGTGTTTTTTTAAAAAAGAATTTTTTTTTTATGGGTTCAGATTTTCAATGTTCAAGCTGTGGTTTTTCATTTGTTATTTTAACTGATGCTGGTTTATGTGTGATTGTGTAGATGGTTAAAATGGAAGCTGACATACTTAAATCTTTGAAATTTGAGATGGGAAATCCTACAATAAAGACATTCCTAAGGTAAGATTTAAGACTGCTTTGACATAGCTCTTTTATCTGACTGCAATTGGTGATTCACTTATTATTGAAAGTTAATAGTTGGGTGGGCTGATTTTTGGTTTTGATTGTCATGTTGGTTTTGCAGGAGGTTCACCAGGGCTGCACAAGAAGATTATAAAGTAAGTGTGACCTCATTCTTCACTATTGAAGGTTAATAGTTTGTATGCTCTGACTCTGGGAAGTATTTGTTATTGTTGTTGACTGTTTTAATCTTTGTGCCTTCTGCAGGCTTCAAATTTGCAGCTTGAGTTCCTGGGTTTCTACCTTGCTGAGTTGAGCTTGTTGGATTACAACTGTGTGAAATATTTGCCTTCTTTGGTGGCTGCTTCTGTTATTTTTCTTACAAGATTTCTGATGCGACCCAAGACGTATCCTTGGGTAAGTAATTCTAGATCTACTGATTTGTACCGACAGTCCTTTTTGGAGTGCAATTTCTAATTTTTGTTTGTACAGAGCTCAACCTTGCAACAAAACACTGGATACAAAGCAGTGGATCTAAAGGAATGTGTTCTCATCATACATGACTTGTATTTGAGTAGAAGAGGAGGTGGATTACAAGCTGTAAGAGAAAAATACAAGCAGCATAAGGTACAGTTTCTGTCAAAACTATTCAGGATTTTGAGTTGAATTCTCTCATTGTAAAAGGGCATTTTGTTTACGTTGAATTATTTTCTTGGAACAGTTCAAGTGTGTGGCAAACATGCCTTCCCCTCCAGAGATACCAAGTTTATATTTCGAAGAGGTTTGAATGCGAAGTTTGGCATGGGAATTTTTTGTTTTGGGATATGGCAAGTGATGGAAATTGAAACTGCCTCAGGAATCCTAGAAGTGAGGATTTGTGACATGCAAAATCATGGCATTTGGATTAACTATAAAATATTGATTGATATTGGGGGGCTCGAGGAAGTGAACTGTTGGCCATGTGGAATGAACTATTGTGGTGAGCTATGCTGATTCTTGCAGTTCTGATGCTTGAGGACTTTATATCTGGAGTATGAATGGCGTTGTTAAAACCAGGAGCTGGGGTGTAACTTTGCTGTTGCTAACTCTTCTCACGGGTAGAATATTTGAATTTCTTAGGGAGTCTTGTAAATATTGAAATTTTGTTGTTGTTTTTTTTCCTAATATTGAAAGCTAAATGGTCATTATGAAAACGTGAATTCTCTTATATTTGAGTGTCTAATGGTGTAAATCTCATATGCCTTGAAGTTGGTACACTTGCGTAATATGAATGTGAGATTTGTTGGAGTCCTGAACCTTGTTTTAAGAGAAAAAAAAACTATGGTGCAAAAATGAATGTGAAACCCTAGTGTCTTGTTGATTACATATAGCAGAGAAGTACTAAACTATCTTTACTGAAGTCTACATCCCTGATTGAAAAGTGGTTTCCAGAAAAACCAAGTGGAGGTGACTCTTTTGTGATACGTTTTTGTTCTACCAGCGAAACCTCTAGTTGAAGGTTTTAGCCTCCTCATTACTCGCACTTTGGCTGCTATTTGCCACTGATCGAGTGAAAAATGGTTAAATAGGCATCCCGTAACAAAAAAATTCCGAGTGATGATGGAGAAATAGATTGTAGTATTAAAGCCGTTGGGTCAGGTCAATGTTAAGTAGCTCTGATGGTTGTATGTGTTCTGATACCAAGTGAATTACCTGGCCATTCTGCACTAGTTGCTTCTACAGGCACAATTGCTGTCTGGGTCACCCCAAATGCCTTGTTAACATTGTTCATTCTTGCTATCAAAGGGCTCCATTCCTTTCTTTCTTGAAAGTGAATGGGGCTGAACGCAAAGTGACTGGAATATTGGTTTACTAGCAAGCAAAACGATCATTTCCAAATGCCTCTCGCACTGGTACCTTTTGATTGCTCCTCTCCCTCTCGTGGGCATTCTGGTGGCCTCCCAGTCCTTGTGAACTATAGAACTTTCCCCTGCAGAAATTGCACAAGAAAACTTTGCTGGTGGTGAATTTTGAATTTGAACCCCGCTCCGTATCCGTAATGCAGTTCCTTCCAAGACTCAAATTAAACCATTCATTTGAATTACCTTCTTCAGTATCTCTGGAGTAACTTTCGCTACATGTTGTATCGTTCTGGTTGATGACTGACGCTTCTGTCTGTTCCATGTTCTGGAAAATCATCTTAGCCGGTCTGTTGATTTGAAAGGAGGCTGCCAAGGAAGCTGTTCTATTAGAGGCTCTTTATTCTAGTTGTGACCGTGCTTCAAGAGGACTGGTTGGTAGACAACAATAAGGATCAAAGAAAAGAACTCAAGAGATTTATCTCATGGTAAGGGAAGTGGCAATGAATATGTGAAGATTTTATGTTCACCTTTTTAAAGTTTAATTTCCCTAATGCTGCCTGTGTCCCCACTTCCCACGGCTTGTTTTTGGTGGCATCCCAGGGGCATCATCAACTATGTCAATGGTAGCCATGTCAAAGCTTAGCATTCACATCTTGTTTTCCGTCTATTATTCCTCCTTTTGCATTGAGTTGGTCTGATTTGAAGCAACTTTATGATTCTAATTTGGCAACCACGCAAAAATTCCATCACTGTTAGTGCCATATCATAATCAAAGTTATACCAGTTGCCGGCCATGATTTTTGGTTACTGTCCCCTACGTTTGCTGAATGATCCCAGGGTTTGATTCTGTCCTGATAGTATTTTGACACTAATTCACAGCATTTGTTGGCAGTCCTCACCAACTATCAATCTTAACTGCTTCATAATTTCTGATCTTGGATGTGTACGTTAGTAGAATTTCTATTTCTTGTTGAAATCACTTTAAACATTGCAAGAGACGCATTGATTAATCAAAGCGATTGAAGCAGTGAACAGCTAGAAGGTGAGCAGAGAGATCAATAATAGCCTATCTTTTGGAGCATAGATTATTTGCAGAATATACTTCTGCCAACTTAAGAATCGTGCCACTCATTCTTTTCATCCCTGGAACTGCATTAGCAACTTCTCTCTTTTTTCTAGACATGTCAAGCTTGTAGGATTATCCTTTTTGTAGCAATGAATCTTATATAAGCTCCTATGAAAATGAACTTGTCCATTTTTTGGGGTCTCATATGTAACACCAACGAATAATTTTTTGATTTTAACCAGGTTTTATTGGCTAATTGCAATGGTAAGAGGCGTAGATCGATATATTTTCTATGATCTCAAAGGAATATTGCACCTTCCTCTGTCCTAGGTTGCACGTGTAGTTGTCTGATACAGGGCAAAGTGCATGGAGAACGAACATAGAATCAATGTGTCTGAGGAAACAGGAAGAGCCCAATTCTCCACTCGCTTTCATGTGCCAGTAATAGCATCTCCAATGGTGCTCTTTACTTTTAGCTAGCATTTTTAATGTAAATAGAGAGTATCATTAATTATATAGATAGAAGATCAATACCTCTCTAATGCTACTCGTATTTAACTCTTTATTTTGATAAAATCTATAAAACTCATAGAGGCTATTGGTAAAGAAGTTGAGTAGCATTAGAAATAATAATTTTCATTAATAAAATATAAGATAAAGAGTCATTTGGACTTCTACAGTATTGGAGAGCTAAAGACACTCTTTATACTAATTTTAAAGATAAAGATTGTGATAAAGAGAGCATTGGAGATGAAATTTGGATCAAGTCTTTTTATTATAAAGAAAAATCTTAATATAAAGAGAAGCATTGGAGACGCTCTAGTGCTGACCATTAAAGCTTCCTTGTCACTACAAGACCTGGGTGAGTGGGTTGATGATTTAGTAGGGTGGAGCAGAGAGTTGTCTAATCAAAATCGCACCTTATCCACAAATGAAGCAATACGGTGGAAATTGGGCCAGATTCTTTTAGATGGAATGCACAAAAGCACCTTTTAACTCCTATTATATGGTTCTCTATTTTCCCACCTCAAAATGTTATATATGTATGCCCCAAGTACGTTATACATACCATGAAATCGGCACCCTTCTTTGTAAGATCATCATTTGTCTTTAGTGACAGTGCCAAAGCGGTAGCCAAGATTTTGACTGCCAATATGGTTAGCACTATAAAGTCGAGACATGCCTAAAACTGGCATAACCTGCTTAATTATGCAAATTTTGCTCAATATTGCAGGAGATAGCCTGGTGCCATATGTTTCGGAGAACAATAGATGTGTGGATTGACTTGCTGCTAACCATATCCACCGCTATTGGGTTGTCTTGAGATTTTATTAAAAGACTTGGCTGGAGTTTCTTTTCCTAGAAATTGTCTTGCGTATGAGGATGCTTCCGGTCTTCCTTTGAATCTAAAAAAAAAAGAAAAGAAAAAAACACGAATTTGTCTAATTGGAAGCGTTTTAACTATTTTGATTTGCTGGCTGCTGGTGTTCCTTGCCTCAAAGTTTCAACTAAACTCCTAGAGGTCCACATGACCTATTGTATCAGCGTTATTGGGGTTTGCTCTCCCACCCTTGTGCAGTGTTTAGTCTTCTCTTCTGAGCTCAGGCCATTGATCAATAAAAAACTTAAATAAAAATCATTTGATTAAAAAATTTAAATCCAGGCCTTTTCACCGAGATATAAAATATCATAGCCTCTGCTTAACAGGCTGAACCTTTTGGGTCGAGTCTAGAGGTGAGCATTCGGTTAAACGGTTCGATTTTGTACGATTCGGTTCGATTTTTGATTAACTAAATTAAAAAAATAAAAATAAAAACCGAATCGAAATAAATTCGATAAATTCAGTTTGTAACCGAATTATTTCGGTTTGGTTTTAAAATATTTCGGTTTTAACCGAAATATTTTGCTTGTAAAAAAAATCGTTATAGAGAGATGTTTTGTACTAGCACTTAGTCCACTAACCAATGAAGTAACATCTTGTTATCAATTAATCCTTTTTATAAACAATTACAAAGCCCTTGAAGAATTTAACTAAACTTTAATGAAAACGAGTTCAAGTGTAATAAATTTGCTCATTCAAACACACCGTATTCCAATTAATTACATTCCGTCACTTTCTTTTCTTATCCCAAAGGTCCTCAAAATTTACTTTCCATCTGTGTGTTTCAGTTTCAATAAGAACGAAGATTGAAAAGTTATGGATTTAGAAATTAGGAAATTTTTTACTTTTATTTTGGTTTTCGATCGAAATCGAAATTTTTTTCTAAAAATCGAACTAAACCAAAATAATTTTAGTTTTTTCAGTTTGATTTTATATTGTATAATTTTATATTTAAAACCAAATCAAATTTCATAATTCGATTTAATTTTATTCGATTTTTGATTACCCAAATCATTTTATTACCGCTGATCATTATGTATTACTATTGTCTTGCCCTTCCCGTATTTCCAATCTTTAATGATTGCCCACAGATTCTCACTGCAGACCTAGGAGGGTAGGACCAGAGTTGTGTCCCCACATAGGTTAGAGTAGGAGGCCCACTCCACATTAGGTAGGTAGTTTCAAACCTGTAAGCAGACATGTATCTGAGCCCAAAAAAAGGAAATGGGCCAACATTGAGAGCTCAAAGCAATTTCAGTTAAACCAAAATTCCAACTTGAAAAGGAGAACCTACTTACCTGCTTTGTAATTTTGTAATGCAACCAAGTGTCGGTAATCATTATGGCAACCAGTTCTAACTTCTAACCTTGGAAACTTGACTTCATTGGTTTAAATCATAATGACAACCATGGGCAAATTGTATAATGTTTTCAACCCTGTCGTCTTTTTACTGCCCTTCAGAGATTCTTTAATCCACCAAACTGTTCATGGGTAAAGTTGTGAATAACTAGCTTAATTATCTTTGGTTACAAGTTCCGTGGCCTCTAATTGTCAAAGCATTAGTCACTAAGGATGTCAGTAGGTCGGATATAAAATAGATATTTTATCCAATTCATTTATTAATTATTCTTTCAAAACATTTTAATAGTTAATGAACTAAATATAAATAAAATAATATTATTTATTTATATTAATGAATAATTTATTTATTAATATAGATATTTTTTTTATTTTATTAATATTTATTTTTTATCCATTAACATAAAAAATGAGTTGACATTACTTTACAAAACTAGAGGTATAAATTGACTATTTTTTGTGTCAAATTTCTTGCATCCTTTTCTTCTTGTATCTGTTATATGCAGCTGCATAATGGGGTAATAACTTTCTTCGCTTTCTCATTAAGAGACCACTCGAGTGATAAAGATTTGGGGTTTTCATTTAAAGAACTCGGTGCAAACCTAGGAAGGCATGTATGGAATGGGAATTTAGGGTAGAGGATTACACATGTTATTAAGAATGCAGTACAATTTATTTTTATTTCTTTCCGTTTTATTTCTCTACACTGGTATCTAAAATAAGTTGCTCAAAGAACATATTCATTTTTGGAATAAATTATAAATTGGTCACTCTAGTTTTACAAAAATGAATTGAATAGTTTATCTTGTTTTAAAAATCAATTAATTAGTTTTTTTAACAGGTGTTCAACATAATGAATTTAATATTATTTTATTTTAAAGAATATTTTATTTTTCATTAATCTTTTCATATTATTTATTTTTATTATCTTTTTTTATTTCATAAAACAAAAATAAAAAATAATATAGAAAAATCGTAATATATATAATTTTCAATTTAAGAAAAAAATTAACAAATAAACAGGTATAAATAAAATATGAGCAAAGTATAATATAATGAATATGGACCGAGTAAAAAAATTGATAAATAATTTTTAATAAGTAATAAACTAAATAATAAGTATAATATTTTTTAATAGATAAGATATGAGATTAGTAATTGGTCGGATGCCCAGCCCATTGCCATCCACAGAAGCCACACATTAGCGAATCACTGGTCTTTTATTACCAAAGAGTTCTCTTGCCTTTTTAGTATCTTAGAATATTTGATTCCACATACTCAATGGTTATTAGAAAGAACCAATATTTGATTCCATATACTCAATGGTTATTAGAAAGAACGGTTGGTTGGTTCAGCTACGCATGATTTGACTACTCAAAACTTGTACTGTAAGTAAAGATTATTGTAGGAAATTAGCTACTTTACATTCTTAAAAGCTTCGCACATTCTTGCCTTTCATTACCATATAAACTTTGCATGAAGGAGAAAGAAGTTCGTGAAGAATAAGATACTAAGAATTCAGAAACACCATTTTTTTATTTCACTCTTTTTAAGGTATAAGCTAGCCAGCTGATTCTTCTGTGGCTCTAGATGAAGTAGCTATAAAGAGTAAATTGACTAGTTCCAAAGCCGACAAACACTACCCGGACGAAGAAATAAAGCACAAAAGCCAAGATCTGTATACCATATGCTGTAAGTTGGACTTGGTGTGACCTTATTTTAGGGACTGAAAGAAAGAACAAAAGCAAAATAGATGGCAAAAAGTTCTCGTGAAATACGAAGAATATGTAAAGAATGGCAAAAAGTTACATCGTGAGTAGCGTCCCTTCTTTGCAGGGTATACTCAATAACACGCTACCTCATCACTTCTTTCCTCCTCTTCTCTTGCCAAACAAAGCCATTTAACTTTCTTTGCTACTGCCTTTCTCTAGCTAGCTGGTCCCATATCTTGCATTACTCCCCCTAATCTGAAGCAGCAAACCATCTCTTCTCACTCTCAGCTAAGACGGCAAAATCATTTCTAGGTAGAAAAATGCACCTTCAACGGTCCCTTCAAGTATTTATGTTGCAGAAGTTAGTGGTCTTAATTCTCCTTGTACTGTTGGTCTCAGGAGACCAGAAAGAAGAGACAATGGTGAATGTTCATGGTTTACAAGACCGGCAGCCTCCAAGAAGCACAGAGAAGCAGCAACAGCAGCGTTTGAGGCACTCTTTTGATTTGTTCTTTTCAAGCAAAAGAAAAGTTCCCAACGCTTCAGACCCTCTTCACAACCGCTGAGCCAAGTCTTCCTGTTAGTTATCAAGAAGAAGTACTAGCTCCTCTTTGGCCTCTGAGAAATTGAAGATTAATTTTGTTGCTAGCTAGTTCTTGAATTAGAGCTGCAAATGTGAAAGGAAGACTTTGAGGGTCATATACTAGATGCTGCAATCACAATTCCACTAATTAGTCTGCATTTTGTCAATGATGGTGATGGTTGCGGATCACTTGAAAGCTAGGATGTATTTTTCTGCTCGTAAAACGTGTCTTGTGTTTTCAACTTTAGCTGGTCCTTTCGGACTCACGATCCGTATATCCTGTATCTTGATACCAAGTGTATGTAATATATGAATATATTAACTAGTGATGAAGAAACTTGTTCTTTGTTAGGAACTTTTTCTGTGAATGTTCTATTTGGGGGTGACTTTTCTCCACACCATTGTCTTCTCTATGCGTGTATAGTTGCTTTCACCTTTTTTTTTCCTTCTTCTCTAAGCTTTATTGTCGCTTTTCACTTTTATCGAAGCTTAATTCTAAAAGGATTTGATATGCTAGTAATGGGTACAAAATCAATGGATTTGGTAGTAACCCAAAATCCCTGACTACTAGCTAATATCTACCACGTGTATTTCTTGCAAGTAGGACGCATGCCAATAGGATTATTAACATAATTCATCTTTTTACTTTTTTATGTTTTCTTAATACGATCTCTTTACTTGTTTATTTATTGTCTTTATTATTATTATTATTTTTAATGCGATCCATTTGATAGTTTTGTAGCTAATTTTTTAAACAGACATAACAAGTGTCAAAAAACTTGACAAATATAATAATACCATATTAGATAAAATTATCACGCAGAAAAAAATAAAAATAAAAAATAAAAATTAGTTGAAAATAAAATGAAAGAAAAAAATTAAGGATTTTCTTTAATTTTCTTAAGGGTTTGGTTTCTGGGACAAAGAAAGAAAATCCTTGACTTTTATTTTTTCTAATTTTCTTTCCATTATTTTTTTATAAAAAAATATTTTTTTCCTTTCATTTTATGATTTTTAAATTTTTTTTTATCATTTGATAATTTTATTTGACATGGTATTACACAATTTAATTTTTTTTTAAAGTATGTATTACGTTTACTTCAAAAAATCATAAAAAAAGCCACATTAAAAAAATAAAAAAATAAACAATACAATAAATAAAAAAATAATAAGAATACTACGTTAAGAAAACTTCAAGAATGAGAAGATGAATCATAATATTAATCCCATGCCAATATGTCATGTCATCGATGTTTCAAGCAAAAGGAGTTCCATTTTATATGACCCCAAAGTGGAGGACTACAAGCATTTCGGACACAAACAAAGGCCCATAAAAGATAGCCAAGCCCATTTAAAGGGAGAAGCGGCCCTTTCTGTGGCTGGCCCTTCTGCAATCAAGAAGGTAACTTAGCTGGTGAACCGCTGATATAGTACCGATCACACCTTACACCGGAACCAGTGAGATTCTTGTTCCAAGCAACCATCGAATTCCTATTTCCTTTGCTGCATAGTTTTTAAGTCTATGTGCTTCTCGATATTGTTCACTGCCTGCAATTAACTAAACTAATGCAAGTGTTTTGAATATAATCCGAGTATTCTAAGGGACGAATCAGTCAATGAGTTTGGATGTTGGAAATTCAATATGGTGATTACTTCTGTAGCTGGTGGAGCCATACGTACTGCCAGTAGTCAAATACGGTGCTTCTTTCTTCTGGAAACCTAATCCACAACTGTTTCATTAATGAAAATGGAGAGACTTCAAAGCCGTATTAATTATACTCACGATCTTGCTGCTGTCACTTGCGTGCAATTTCAGGTACGCTCTCTTGAAATTGACTTCATTTTATTTATTTATTTTGTGTAAATATCTGGTTTTTAGGCTTTTAGATTATGCAGTAATACAAAGAATTTTTCACGAGTGAATTATAAATTAATTCTTTTGATTTTAAAAATTAATTATTTTTTAATTTATTTTGATTTTTTACTTTAAAAAATAAAAATAAAAATATGAAAAGATTAACAAAAAAAAAGATGTTATAAAATAAAATATTAAATTAATTATATTTAATAAAAATTAAAAAAATTAAATAATTAGTTTTTAAAACCTGACGAGCTAATTAATTCTTTCTCAAAACGAGAAGGACTAATTATAATTTACTCAAATTTTCAGAGACTAAGTTCTAAATTTGGTAACAGGATCAATTTGTGAGGTGCCATTCTTGCGTAGATGTATACGAGGAGGTAAATTGTAAAATGTTATGTGGGGCGTAATCTAAACTGTTTAATAACGAAACATACATCTTGGGGGAAAGTAATGCGTTCCAGAAAAAGGAAATTTTTTTTTTTTGGATCCTTATATATACAATTTGTTAATTAATATGGAGAGCTTTAATCTTTGCGATAAAGACAAAAGGGAGACTTGCTTTAAATTATTTATAAAAAAAAAAAAAAAAAAAACGGCTTGCACTAAATTCCGCAGTCATTGGGCTAGACATTGTGTTAGCTTAGAAATTTAATTTGTCCGCGTAAAGTAGATGGAAATTCATGGCCAAGAAAGACTGCTGCTTTCCCTAGTCAAACAGTGATAGCATTCATGAATACGAACCCACTTGGCCACTTCACTACATAAGTTTTTTTTTTTTTTTTAGTTAATAAGATCTACCTTCCTCTTCCTGGGTTCTTGAATTTTTCTGTTTCTAAATGGAGTTCTTGTACTATCACCTTGCTTTATTGTTCTTCATTTTCGTTGTTATCAAAAACTTGTTTAATCAGAAGAAACATGTGCCTCATGGTCCATTTGCTCTTCCTGTTATTGGACACCTATACCTCCTTAAGCAACCCCTTTACAAATCCCTGCACTCTCTTTTATTACGTTATGGTCCAACCATATCACTCAAATTTGGCTCTCGGTTTGTCATTGTTGTGTCTTCACCATCTGTTGTGGAAGAATGCTTCACCAAGAATGACATGATATTTGCGAACAGGCCCAAGTCAATGGCAGGGGATCGTATGACCTACAATTATTCTGCTTTTGTGTGGGCACCTTATGGTGATCTTTGGCGAAACCTACGTCGTCTTGCCGTTGCTGAAATATTCTCTTCAAAGAGTCTACAAAAGTCCTCTACGGTACGCGAGGAAGAAGTTAGTTGCCTGCTTCGCAAACTGTTGAAGGTCTCAACTTGTGGAACACAGAAAGTGGACCTCAAGCTTTTGTTTTCTACTCTGGCATGCAATGTTGTCATGAGAGTGTCTGCTGGAAAACGTTGTGTTGAAGAGGAACACGCTGGCACAAAGATGGAGAGGCTTCTATTTCAAGATTTTAAGGATAAGTTCTTCCCTAGCCTAGCGATGAATATCTGTGATTTTATCTCAATTTTGAGGTTGATTGGTTTTAAAGGGCTGGAAAAGAAAATGATAAAGTTGCATGCAATCAGAGATGAATTTTTGCAGAATTTGATAGATGAAATTCGATTAGAGAGAATTACTTCTTCTTTGAAAACTGATGAAGTAGCAGATGGGGAAGAGAGAAGGTCGGTGGCTGAAACTCTCTTGTATCTGCAAGAATCAGAAGGTGAATTTTACACGGACGAAGTTATCAAAAGTACTGTGCTGGTAAGTAGTAACAATGCATCTTTATTTTTTTTCTATTTTATTACATCTTTAGTAATCTGAACTATTGGAAGCTCAAAAAATCGAAGCTGGGATACCTCGAATGGTAATCCTACCATAAGTACAATCCGCGATCTGCAAACCTCTTTCTCCTTGTTTATAGTTTTCGATCCTGCAAAGCCAATTCATATCGTCATTAGTACAATATTTCACAGTTTTGTCTAGTAGAAGCTATCTTTGGAAAAGAACTTACCTTGGGCGGTTCAGTTTCAGTCATTCCCCAACTTTGGTTTCTACGGAGAAGAGAAAACTGTGAACACTTGCCTGTGTTCTTGTCTGAGCTTTATGCCACTAATCTTTAGATTCTTAGAAACCCCAACCCCATTTCAGCCTAGTGAAGATTAGATTACTTGTTTTCAAATTTTAGAATGCAGGATTGCTGCGCACAATTTGTTGACATTTTACTGTATTAGATTACCTAAGTCGGGTGTACGAATAATGAAATTCGAACACCTATCCAATTACATGTGACGTGAAGATGGTCAGTTATGATCTAAAGGAAAATGAACTAAGCTAAATCACATGGTTTTTTTTTTTTTTTTTTTTTTTTTTTCATTGAGCCGGTTTTTGAGTTTTGCATGCCTTTTTTTTTTTCTCTTAATTTCTATCTTGTCACTGGGTAGATTTGTATAATTTTGACTTGTACTTGATTGATTTTGCTTTTAATTTGTTTTTTTTTTTTTTTTTCAGTCTTTTTCTGTCTTTCAATGCTTTTTTTTTCTCCTCGAATCTGAAAGTGCCGCTCGCAATTTAAGGGTCTTTTCATCTTTTTTCACAAGATTTTTTTTTTTTACAAATACTATATTGGTGGCTATTACTGTTACGTCCTCTTCTTTTGCTTTCCGTAATTTTGATTTCTCACAAGTTTTTTTTTTCCCTGATTTTACTGTTTGGATATGGGCCCAGTACGATTGTTTTTTTTTTTTAGTCTCTTTTCTTTTGCCATGAAAAAAAAAAAATCATTTGTAGGATTTTTTTTAGAGAAATATTTTTTTTTGATACTTAGACTATATATATATATTAAAAAAAGTAAATAGAAACATTTTATGGCTTTTTTATATAAAAATAAATTCAACATAATATTGATTCCTTTTTGAAAAATGTTCTCTTTGTGAAAAACAGGGGAAAATAATAATGTAATTTTTTAGTTGATTGATGAAACAATTCCTTTGATTATTTTTTTAAATATATTAAAGCTTTGCTTTTTTTAATTAATATAAATGTTGAAGTTTCAATTAGAATGCATATGGTTTTTGTTTAAAAAGAAATATTAAATAGAATGCATGTATATCATGCTAATGATCCATTTCTTAT